GTGTGTTCAGAGCATCATAGAAGGAGCACTTCGTTGATCAGCTGTAGCAAAAGGAGAAGCGACTGCTGACATTACTTTAGAAATGGTTATCGATGCTTATAAACAAAGAGGCCTTGATGGCCTATCTAGTCTACTTGGTGCTGATGAAAATGGCACGATTCGAGTAACTAAAAATAATAAAGTTAAAAATAGGCTATTTAATTATTTAAAAAATAAATATTAAATATTTATTACATAAATATTAATTTATAACATGTTTATTTCATTTTTAAGTAGTATATGGCAATAAAATTGTTTTGATGTTCTTTGTATATCAGTTCGTTTTATTATTTATATATTTATTTATCATATTTATTTAAAATATACGTCCTATAACAACAATTGAAAATCTATAAGAGAGATTGCAGTAATCAGGATTTACGAGCAATCATATGTACCTATTTACCTTTCAAACCGCGCGCGTAATATCAGATTATGCGGCGTTGCCATATTTTCAAATAGCGTCTCACAAATGCACGTTCTTCACGCTTTACTATTTAATTACTTTTCTCACAAGTACCCTTGGAAGGTTTTGAAAGCGAATATATAATTGTCATTTAATTATCTTTCTACTGTCCAAAGGGCATCAGAACCTATCCTATATTAGCAACGATATGAATGATAATATACAGACAGCTCCGCGGTTTCCCATAAGACGCCATGTTGAATTGGCATGTAAACAAAAACTCAAGGCATGCAAATAATTATGAATATCTCCCTTTATAGGTACCCTCGGGTCACAAAAATTTAGATTTCTTATTTTTATGCATTAATCTACCATCCTGCAAAATATCATAATTTTCTATCCTATATTTCAATTTGCTGTACAACTACCTTAAGAGGTGCTAAAACAGTTTCAATTATCCACTGAGAGGCATTGGAGTACCATTGATTTCTTTACGCACCGAATTATTCACAAAAATAATTGGAATTGATTAGAAAATCTAAACCATCGAGAAACTTAATCTTGCTAACATTAAGAAGATCTCAAATCTTTCCCAATTTTTTTCCTGCACAATTTTTTAATAAAAAAAAAAGAAATTAGTGCATGAAAATGTAACACTAATAAAAAAATAGAAAAACCGTCAGAAACGAGATCCTTTTCAGAGCTTGTTTGACTTCAGACGAATCTTTAACTGAGTAAATAGAATTTTGGTACAAGAAAGATACAATATATTTAGTAGGACAACTATGCTATGGATCTCAATAAGGACATCTGCCTTTGCCAAGCTACTACCACCCAAACAATCAACACCTGTTTGTGAGATTCGTGAATAGTAAAGAATATCGGTATCTGACCAATCACTCATAAGCTTTTTTTTATGGAATTGACCAATTAGTTTAGAGAATCGTTCCTTTTTTTTAATTTTCATCTCACTATAGTGTGTATATCATTATTCAGGACAACTTCAACTTTTTTAATGTAATTATTTTCATCCACGACAATAATCTATTCCATTATTAAATTATGTTCAGTTTCATTATAAAAATGCTTCGAAATAAGAAAGAGTAGAAAACAGATGTCTTTACAATCAATGTGAAAAATAAAAACACCCCACCGTAATCCCATGATGCTGATAATGCAAATTCACGTTTGTACCAAATGCATCTATACAGCGTTCCCACAGCCCAAAGGATTCCTTGGCAAAAGTTGCTAAACACGCGCTCGACAAACTATCGGATAAGCAATAATAAACTCATCGCGTGCAAAAAAGCAGTTGGCAAAAAACAGCGTTACTCTCGTCTCGCACGGTAGTCCATTGAAATCATACCCCCTCGAACCCCAAACACACTAGCACGAGACACCGCTAAAAATCGGTCAGAGTCGTTATTCTGTTAAAGTGCTCATAAGCTTCGTCGTCACGCCGTTGTTCCATTAAACCGATGAATCACGTGGACCTTGTATACATAGAAACACATGCATTGAGAACAGATGGAGGCTCTCTTCGCATGAGCAGCAGGAGACACGCGAAAGTAAGCGAGGAGGTCACAGCGCCACAGGAGGTAACGCAACTACCACCTTGCACTAACCCTTACCTCTCTCTCTTTGTATCTTCCCTGCCCGATGCCGCCGCGCAACTAATACAGTGTAGACCAGACCGGCATTCCGCCTTTCCTTCTCGTCATGCCTGCAGTCGGCCTCATGGTGCGCGCGAATTAGGTCCGCGCGAGGATTCTAGGTCAGAGGTTGCGTCCTGGAAACGTGCAAACAGGTCCTTACGGTTTTTCGTCCTTTACTTCCCTCTTTCTCTCGCTACTCCACGTGTGCATGTGTACGTGTGCATACGATTAGCCGCGAGGGGACACGCGTGTGCGACCGTCGTCGTCCTCGTCGTCAGATTCGACTCTTGCGCTAGGCATGCCAGGCGCACCGCACGTGTAGGTATACTAATATATTTATGCTCGGCCAGGCGAGCTTTTGATATGGAGATAAAGAGAATACGTGCTACAATAGCCATTGCCGCAGCTGCTGGCGGTGGCACTGGTAGCCTAGAAATGCACATGCCACGTTCGGAACGGACTGATTTTGGCGGAGCAGACCCTTAAAATTTTTTAAGGAGGATCATGTTGGTCCTGGTCGTCACTTACAACAAACACCCGTACGATAATTGGGCCTATCCTACATTATCATCTTACGAACAGCTTACAATTGTACTACGTTAAGCCTATACATTTCCTACAATTTACAATTGTACTATGGTAAGCATACATTTCTTACAATTTATAATTCCCACACTTCTACTCATCATAGTATGATGTACAATATCCCGTAAGGATTATGTCCTACGTCACTCCTCTTTCAATCATACTTAACTTCATAAAAATGTCAAAACAATGTTTGTGATATTTATTATACGTAACAAAGTGATTCTTTTATGACATCAATTTTTAGTTAAGCCAAAAATTATTCATCCCTTACTACTTACATCGTTAGTTGGGAATTAACAAATACAAGTCTCAGGTATAATTTAACAATTTTATGCTGTAAGCTTTCGAAATCCTATAAGCTCATAACGTAAGCACCTGTTACGACACATCTTCATAGTATAAGCTTTCAGAAAAAATTATAATAAAGTGGCCGATGTGTGTTGGTACCACCATTAGTTAGACTATTCATGAGTAACTAAACTTGAGAAGATGGAGTAAGCAGGTAACGTAGGGCAGTAGCTAATTGGTTGCCACGGTCCATACGTCTAACACAGGGCCACCAAGTGTCTTTTATCATAGGTGTCAAAGTTATGAAGAATATGGCTACTGGTAATACCTATTAAATCAACAACGCAAACGTAGGTTTTTGAAATCCTGCAACTAATCATTAAGAGTTTTTGTAACCTATTACTTATTAAAATAGTTTCCAAACGACAGCATTTTTAGTTTTTATACCTCAAAAGTAGAAAGTTTTATATTTTAGTAATGAAAGATTCCATGAACACCAAGATGTGAGCTCTCATTTCAATCCTTATAACTTGAGTTTTTTAAATCTCAGTACTGAAGATTTTGTCATAGAAGCTAGAAATGTATTAAATAAACATTAAAACATTAAATAAAACGTAATCCCTGGGGTTCTTTGAAGCGCATACTACATTATTAAAAGTTTTTCGTTTAACTAAAGATTTTGTTACATTAGGTTGCTAAAACTAATACTAAAATCCCTCTTAGTAGATAAACAGACTTAAAATCAATCTGTTCGAGTTTCTTAAGTCCACAAGTACCATGTTATAAGTTCTTTAGGATCAGTAATTTTACTATGTGATACATCTTTTTGTCTTTGAACTATTAACCACATACTGTTACGAGGAAGATATATCTTATTCTGAGTACTCTTTTTAGAGCTTGAACACTAAGGTAACGAAGTTGTAGAATTAAAAAATTGGTGTTAAATGTTGTCCAGTTTCATAACCATGCATTTAAGGGTTGTAAATTTAGAGAACTCTCAGAATAGTGTTTTTGTATGAATGATATTTTATTGGTAAACTAAAGGCTCCTGGACGAAGTCCTAAGAGTTCTGAAGTCAAAGTCGATATTAATAGATTAAGTGTATAAAAGAGTATTGTTGGTTTTAAAGAACTTGTAGTACCGTAGTAGAAGATATTTTTTATTCTAGATCAATTCTAGGATTTTTTAATTCAGGAGAACTTTCATTGTTCAATTATTGGACTCAACGGGCATTCATTGTGTGGTATTGTTGGGTTTGGGGAGCTAATATTAATTCTAGATATCTTTCTCTCTCAGGGAAATCTTAGAGTTCTCAGATTTAATTGTCTACTTTACAGCAGCGTTTTTTAACAAAAATAATTTGTATTATAGAATTATTGGTTTATACCGGAGGTTTTAACATATATTGTTAGTTTACATATTGAGTTTACACTGGTTGATTCCAGAATGTTGCAGCTCCTTAGTAAATATCTGAATAATTTTGTATAAGAAAGCTAATATAATGCGAAGTTGTCAAATTCGAAAAATCCTTTTTAACGAGGTGTAAATAACCTGTTCTTGCTCAGTGTTGCAAGATTTTAGAAGTTAGGTAACAATTTTTTTCTATTACCGGGAATCATGTAGAAAATAAAAGTTTCGTTAAGATTTGATATTACAAAATTCAAAAGTAAAATTTTGAATCGTTAATAAATTAACGAAGATACGCACGCTCTAGAAAAAGTATGATTTTTATACATATAAATAGCGCTTCTCACGCGGTGGATAGGCCAAAACAAAAGTCGACGGGCAATAAATATCATTAGTGTTTCCCGTTAATCGTTCGAGAGCAAGGGAAAGAAAGAAAGATCGAGAGGGGGAGAGCTTGCGCCAATTTAAAATTAGACTTCAACTATATATATATATTTATTAAGAAAAAGCCAAAAGAAAAACGTTGGCCAAAACCGTTTTGTGGCCCGTAATGATCCAAGAAAGGCTACGGTAGAACTGCACGATTAACACTCGGCACGTGTGCTTTCTGGTTGCAGCCCCGCAGGAGACGCTTGGAGCCGACTGGCCACGATGGTCAATCTACTGGAAAAACTGAACTACTCGCGGGACCTGCTGATACAAGCCAAGGATGCCGAGGGACGGGAAGACGGTAAGTACCTATATATACAACACACCGTGTACCTGTACACACACATATGTGCACATGGTGGCGCTCACGCGACCATTATCGTGTCGGCCATAAATTATCGATCGCTGGCCAGCGCCACAATCAAAGGCGAGCTATCGGAGCTTGGAAAACGATATGTGCTGTCCGCGTGGAGTAATTGGGCGAAGGAGGGTACGGGGCGGTCGATATTGTAATCGGGTATCGGGCGTCGATTGCAGATCTTACGATTGGAAATCGCTTCGCGATCTTAGCAGTGGTGCTGTGTGTTAACAGCAGGGGATGATCCCGAGATTCGATATCACCGCGCGGAACGAATCCTTTGCCCCTCTTCTTGGGAATTCCAGGAATTGCACCGGCTTTTAATTATTCGCTACGGGCAATGTGATTAGGACTTTTTTTACTGCAGCTCATGCAAAAATGAAATTTTTTTTTTTCTTTGGAAAAAAAGTTATTTACGGAGGAATGCAATGAGAGAGTATAAAAAAATTGGCCGCTAGAGAGCAGCATGGCGTTGGGTTAGTCTACCCCCAACTATTCGTCATGAGACGCGAGGGAGAGGTTTTAGTTCCAGTTATTACCGCATGATGCTTTTTTACATTGTAAAATGGCGCTAAATTTTCGCAGTTTTCTTTTGAACACTTACAATGGTAGAGGTTTTAGTTTCAACTTTTGCCACTTTATTTTTGTAAGGACCTTTTGGCGCTAGTAGTCGCGTCTTATAGGGAATACGTTAAGTATCAAAGTTATTTTTTACTTTGTATGCAAACTGTTTGATGAATGATTGTGGTTGAAATGAAAACTAATAATATTGAAAGCATTCTTTTAATTTTTTTTTTTTTTTTTAATACAGTGTAGTAAATTTAATTGTTTTCATCATGAAACATCAAAAATTGGTTAACAAAGTTGCAAAAATTTACAACGTACATGCTTTACGTACCTTACTCAGTGATTTCTATAATATTTCGTAGCTGGTCTTGTACCTGACACCTACTTGGGAACTCTGTCACCTGCGATGTCTTGTAAAATTCACTAAGCTTTTTGAAATTGTTTCTGTGAACAGTATTAATTTGTTCACTGTTGGCATCAAGTACAGGTATCGTAAGTGAGCGTCGTTTGATTTGAAACATGAGTAGTTAAAAAAAAGATATACATATACATGAAAGGGTAGCAGTGCCTGTGGAATCTCTGGTGCAAAAAAAATTACACACTTCGTGTTAAGCATCTTATTTGTAACACATCAGTATTTTTTAAGGTTTAACTTTTTTATTCAATATATATAAACGTACCCATGCCGCTCACAGGCATATCGCTCGATAATTCCAGAAAATGTACAACGCATTCTTAGTCCTCTCTTTGTGTACTTTTTAAATTACTATCAAAACACATTTTACATCGACTGCCGCTCGTGTGCCATGGGGGCCGACAAAAAAGATCGATGCTCCACGTGGCAAAGGCACGTGCACAACACGCGGGCATTAACGTGTTATCAAATAATTTCTAATACCGTTGCTAGATAAAATCGACGCGGCCGCATTAAACATGAGCAAATATGAAAAACACGGGGGAAAAAGAAACCAATAATCTACTGATAGATGAAAAGTAGCCTCGGGCAGAGTGTGGGTTATCAACGCATCGGCGCGCACACGCCACCATTGCGTTGTGTACACCTAAACAAAAACCAATTTCTTAGCGCTACCGCGAATTTCAGCGCCTGCGGTAACTACCTCCGTTTTCTTTACCGACTCCCACCGTATATGGTTTTCTTTTCCCGGCATACACTCGACACTTTCCTACATGCACACACGCGCTATAACGGTGCAGTTTACCGCCTGGCCACTGCAAAACGTATTGTCAATATCGAAAGCCGGGCTCGACTCGTCGCTTTGGCATCCCAATTGCTGATCAGCTGCTCCGTCATTAAGAGGAGACGCACGCGCATAGTTTCAGCGGTCCTTTCCATCAGCATAAAGACCGCTTAACGACGTACTAACTCGTCTGCCGGAGAGATTGAGAGAAAGAATATACACTCACCACCCCCCCCCCTTTCATTCCTATAAACGGTTATACGCTGGTCGTATGTGCAGTGCACAGCGTTGCTGCCGTGGATTTTTATCTCGCTCTTGTGTGCTGACGAGCAAAAATTTTCCAACTCGACCCTCTGGGCTGGAATCAAAGGGCTCGAGCAGTGGCTTTTTCCCCTTTTTGTTCACTCTCCACATGCGAGCACCGCTCAATTGTTTCGTCTGGCTGCGAGAGCTGCGGACAACGACGTTTGTATACGTAGCTCATACGATGAATAATAGTTGATGGTTTTCGACCCTATTTGGCGTTTTTATGGGGTTTTTCAACGACTGGCTCTAGGTGCCCGTGGTTTTTACTTTCATGGTCCACTCAAATTGCAGATTCCTGCGAAGGCGATGGAATATATGCTTCAAAGATTGTCATTACCGGTTGATCGACTGATCTTGCAGTTTTTATCTTTGCTAAGAATTTCATTTTGTTGCACTAACAACGAGTACTGCAAAAGGAAGTTCTTTACTTTCGGCAAGTTGATTAAACGCAATCATTTAATCACAGTATACGGATGCTTAGTCATACAAAATGAAAATCGTAGTCTTTTCATTCGTATCAGCAACCGGAGGTAGATTCAATCTTTTTTGTCCATATTTCTGGCTCTACTCGAACAAAAACCGTACGCATCCGACGTAAAAAGCAGCAGCAATGCTTTTAGGACCCATTAAAACTCATCGTAAATACTTATAAATCAAGTAAAAAGCCCCAAGAGTCGCCCGGGAAAAGCCGGGGAGTTGAGTCGGACTTTCCGCTATCACTATCTTCCTCTTCAACGAGCGTATTCATTCCATGTTTTGTGTGCACCTACGTGGCGTTGAAGCACCTACGGGGTATTTATAAATGGAAACTGAGTGAAAAAGGACGGTGGGGCGTAAAAAACGTTTTCATCGAGATTGCGTCCGGTAGGAGAGTACATAAATAAAAACGCAGGTTGGCATGAATAACGTGGAAATACAGCACCAAGTGCTATCTGGTCAACAAAAGCGTGTACCTAGCATTATTCGTATGCACGCGGAGACTAAACCAAAGACGCGGCTAAACCAAAGCGAGGAAAACGTGCGCTCCAGTTTGTTACACATGCCCGCTGCACGTCCTTGCGCTCGCTTCGGTGTTACACTAACCCCGGCCCCTTGTATTATCTTTCTCTTTGAGTTGAAGTGCCGTGCGCACGTTGCACGCCCCGGGAGAGCGCGAAATGTATATATAAGTTGTCGCGCGAACGCGTGACTCCGAGCGTTTCTCTTTCTTGGACCGCGTGACCGCGCGTCTTATATATGTATTTATGGCTTAGTTGAGTATTTGTGCATGTGGATGAGAGAGATTTTCGCAAAAGATATGGATGGCTGAACGTGTATTTAACGGTACGCCGGACCAGCACGATGTTTGGACGCGCGCTTGGAAACTGGAGATCACCGCGCGAAATTTCAACCTTTATGCACGTTTTTAAGTACACCCCTAATGAATTAACATTCATATTGTTATCATCGGTTTCACGGCGGTTTTTGTATTCATTTTTCCTTAATTTTTTTTTTTCATTTTTGATGAGTATGCAACATGAAGTGATCACTACTCTTGTCTGTATTTCGGTCTTCTTATCCCGGTTACTATGTCTTCATCTTTGTGTCATTTTTTTTCTTCATCGATGACTACTTCTCTACGGTTGTAATATTTCATTTTCGCAATACTTACTTTGTATCTCCAAATCTGTGCCTTCATTTTTAATTACGATCGCATTCTCACCCCTAAACCTCTAATACTACGTTTGGTTGTCGCTTAAGAGTAGCATTTTTCTTTGTGTCTATGTCTGACTCCTCACTTGTGCTGGTGTTTCTACATTTCAATGCTTCTGTATTTCCGTTTATCTATGTCTTTTTTTTTGTACATCCATACATCTTTTTTGTTTTCTACTTTTTCAAATCTCATTAGCATCGATTACTTTGAATTGATGTTTTCCTATGTATCTATCTTATAATCCCTACACCGTTGCATTCGTTTTTGAGTCCCTACAACTTTTTGTCCGTATAGATCTTTTTCTATAACTTTTTGCGATTGTAACTGTACGTTATATATCTCTTTTTAACTAAATGTTTCATCCAATTGCGTTCTAAAAAATAAAAAAGAAGAGATGTAATCCCACATCTTGTGAAATAATTCGTAAGAATTGTATTAATGAGTCAAAAATTTTTTGTAGACCCCATGGGAATGACAAAAAAATCGTATTGAAACTTGCGTTACGTATAAAGTCACGTGCCAATTAAAGACTATATTGTTCGCGAGTTACGCGGACTGTTGCTAGCGCATAAAAATCTCATTGAAGTGTGCAATACCTCGAGAGCTGAGCAACGATAGCGCGCCTCAGCCGTTTGTACGCCGTCGAATTCCCCAGCAGTAGTTTCTATACGGTTTTACCGTAATTCCAATTTCGACGCGACGCGCAATTCATATGTACGTGCCGAAGAGAGTGGAAAAGCGAGAAAGAGAGAGACAATAGTCCATCCGAAGGATCGTCGATTCGATTCCTTTACGGCTATTCTTTCTGGCACCGATATACGTACGACCGTCGAGAAGAAGCAGAAACGTTATAACGCTTTCGTTTGATTTCCTGATAAATTCTGACGGTCTCCTCGTCGATGGATTCGATGAGTCGTACGTTTTCCTTCTTCGTTCGCTTTTTATGTCTCTTCTTCGTCTTCTTTTACAACTTGCTTACTTTTTTCTCTCATTTTCTTTCATAGTTTTCTTCTTGTTCACTGATCGAGTTTTCTGATTCTTTCCAATGATTTTGTTGCAGCTTTATTGGCTTCTTATGACCTTGCTGATAAACGATTGCCGTCTGCACCATACGTTTCTTGATTTTACGGGTGGTGTTGAAATATCCTACACTACGGTTACTTTTTCAATGTCACCCGAGATACAAAATTTTAAAAAATTTTTATCGTTAGCGTAGTTTATCGGTATTGATGCTACAGTTTTTGTTCTTTGTTATAGTTATCGGAGCATGTGGAGAAGGGTGCACTGCGTTCTCGTATGGTTGTAACAAATTTTAGTTATATACAAGAAAAGTATCAGATACGTTTATAAAGAAAAATTTAATTTCTCCTACAGTTCATTCGGGTGTTTCTGTTTTTATAATTCACTTGCACAAACAGAGCCTGAGGATTAAAAAATTTCTGATTGCCCTAAATTACATATTATTAGGTGCATTATGTTTTTGAACACTTTGAACTTCATTATAACTTCCAGAATTACAGACACAATATTTTCATTTAATCACTGAAAAAATAAAAGATCATACAATTCGTATCAATGTCATTCCCATTCACGTTGTCTGACAGCAAATTGTCTGACACACAACTTGTCTCATCAAGTACGATAGTAACGTGATTTTTGTGACTCACCTTATTAAAATATTGATGCTTTTGATGCATGGGAATACTAGTCTGGTACAGCATAAGCTTTATTGCTTTAGTCACAGAATGTCATAAGAAAGAACGATCTTTAAAAAAAGCATAGAAATTATATACTTATAGAACAAATTGTACCAAGGATTAGGGTGTAAATATTATGCGTTTGATTAACTACATGCCATTCATTCAAATTTTTTGTTAACAGTAAAATATTTTTTAAATTAGACAAAGAAATAAAATTTGAAACAGTAATTCATTAAATATTTTAATAGTAACGTAATATTAAAAGTATTTTATAATTATGCTGTTAAGTACACTAATATATTTTCATGTTATACAGCTTTTAAGAGTGTACTGCTGTATATGTTAAAGCATTTTTTATCACATGTTTTGAAATATAATTTTACGCTCTACGCAAAAAATTAATGGCATCTTTTTGAGGCAAAATAATTCCCGCCAGTTAAATGGGAATGATTACATGGTTACGTATGATTTCTTAAAAGTTTGATTACTTTCTTATCCCTTAACAGTTTTCGGGCTTTACATGTTGAATTAAATTGTATATAATTACACGTACTGACTCAATCAGTTTAATTGATTCTATAGTGATGTTCAAAATTCTTTGATGCTTCATAAAATTCTTTAAAGATCGTTACATAATGTAATCGTAGTACATGATCTTCACAATTTTCGATTTAAACTTGAAGGTAAAATTAAAAATACGTTTATCTTAATAGGCTTATCATTGACGTAGCAAGAACGTAATCACCTCAAACATGAATGACGTGGTAAATAATTTTGCAACACTAAGTTTTGCATATCGTTTGAAAAAGCGACACACCCACTCGGTTGAAATCTCTGAATTAAAAGCTCGTTACAATATTTTTCTTGATTAACATCAGCATCTTGATTTAATTTCATTATTAATTGTTCCCGTCCGCTAAAGGACTTCCAAGTAACAAATTGCTCTCTAAAGCAAATTTTCTTCATGGATTTTCTTATGTACTTTGCAGAATTGAAACTGGTAAAACTGCCGGAGGACACGTCGCTGTCTGGATTCACGCCGCTCATGTCGAATCCGCAGGATCCGTTCTACGCCGACAAGAAAGAAGACATGGTGAGTGTATTTGTTTTTCTCTGCACCACATAAATGACCATATCCCACTTGATGTGTCCGCCTGTCCTTCGGCTTCTACCCTCATTTTCAGACTCGAGATTTATAACTCGGAAGCCAAGTAATAAAGCCTTTAATGGCCGACCGAAGGCGGTACATCCATCCTACCTATATATTTCCTTTCCAACCTGTGTATTTGAGACACTTTTAATATCATCTCGAAGGACAAGCATATAGGTCCATGTAGTTTTCATAATGACGTTTACTCTGCAAAACACCGTAATAAAGCGCCAGGGATATATTGTTTTTTCGTCTTCAAGCGCTCACTCTTTCCATTTCGCGGCTGATCAACTCGTTGCGAATACTCGATGAGTACATTATCATGCAGATCGCGTTTAATTTATCAAAATGCAAAACACACCGCGGCACTCGTTTATCAATATTATTATGAATAATCATACACTAGACTGGCGGCATTTTGTCACGTACTTCAAATTAACTTGGAAACTGCACTACTTACTTTCGATACGTCAAACCAAGTTGAGTAATCAATGACAAACGATCCAGGGGTAATTATTGTGATGTATTTACGGACATGTGACACCGGAACGCGAGTGGAATCGAAAAAAATGAGCGACACGCGTTAACAAACGTCATCGTTCGCATTCGCAGGAAGTGGTACAGGTCTGCCTGAGGATACACAAAATCCTGTTCTTCGGCCAGGTGTTCCTCTGCGGCCTGGAGACGCCCGTCCTGAAGTTGCAGAAGAGCGAGGCTGGAGTCAACGAGTACGTCTCCGTGGTCGAGGCCTCGAGCACCAGCACGCCCGGCTCGCCACCCGAACAGGTACACCCATCGTATCCCCCGATGATGGTTACGCAAGCGTAAATTTCGCGATACAAGGGAGCGCTTGCCGTCGTTAATTTCGCGACAAGACCGGGGCGAAGCGCGTTACCGATCCCCTCGGGCCTTCCGAGCCTCGTCCACTTCTTTCGCGACGAAAATTTATGAGACCAGCACGCGCAGGAGTATGATTTTTTGCCCGAGAGGAAAATACAGTTGGCTCTCGGGGTGTAACAAACGATCACCGCGCGCAGACGTGTCGATTGTCTTGTTCGCTCGCGATGAAGGTCACTTTGGGAGGATTTTTATTTATTCAGACGGTATTGTAATTAACGTGGTTACATCATCTCCAGGCTGGCTCTGAAACGAATACTGTTGAGCAAATCCTTGTCGTTAATTTCCAATTATTCAAATGACGATGGCCTAACGAATGGAAAATCTGTCAATGTCGAGCTGAAAGTCGTTTGTAACGCCCCCGTTAAGTTTTGCCACCGGCTCAGTAGAGACATCAAAGTTACGCATACCTCGTCGGCAATTTGTCAGCCTCCGATAAACGAGCAAACGAGTTTCGCGACGTACAATGTTTCGAGAGACGGCGTTGTGATTTTTTTCTTTTATTCGCGAGACAAATTGAAGTGTAAACTTATCGGAAACTAGATAATAAGGTCGCATCGACTGAAAGTCTGGCTCGATGAAATTGCAGAGCGACTCGGAGCTAATGGTCGAGAGCTACAGCGAAGACGAGGATGGGTCCTCGGTAGCCTCGCCTAGGCTGTCGATCGGCGACACCAGCTACGACAGCGGCGTCATGTCGTCGACGTCGACGTCCGCGTCGGTGCCGGTCGGCGAAATCAGATCGCTCATCGAGCGCAAGGAGGAGCTGGAAAAACGACAGCGCAGACAGGACAGGCACCGCCAGCGGGTACAGGTTAGTGGAGTTTTGCGTAGTTTTTGTTTTTTTTCCTTCCCACCACCATCATCGCGATCTCGAATGCAATTACCGAGATGGAAAAATGTTTGCCCAACATTGGCCTTTTGCACACGCTGTTCAATGAATATCAATGGGGACGGCTTTTGCTGTCGCTTGTTTTGCCGATGGTGATGTATTTATGGCCAAGTTAAATAATTACCATCCACATTACGTACGAGAAGAATACCGCCGGCGCAGAGGCATTATCAAAATCGATTATAACACCCCATGCGTCACGTGGACACTTTTTTTATGAATTTCATAGGTGCTCAACATCGATTATCCCCGTATACGCAAGCACGTATAAATAAATTACGCAAATTCTTGGACACGCCGATAAAAGAAAAAAAAAAAAAAAAAAAAGTCACGATAATGCACTTTTTCGTACGTACCTTCCTCTTATTTTTATTATGATAACAGGGCGCGTGCCTCCCCCCTTGCGAGCACCCACAGGCGCTATCGCGTAGGTGGCTCCTTGGTCCCGCGTATAGTAGTGGCGATAAATAAACCAGGGGAGGGATATCGGACGCGCGGCTGGAAGTCTGCCACGTAAAGCCAGATAACCGACAGTCGAGTCCAGTCGAGTGAATGGAGTTGCTCCCTCCTCCCCGTGGTTTGGCTGCAGCTTTCAAATATTATCAGATACACCGCCGGCCGTGGTGGTCATCCCCCCCTCGATTTGTTCCACCCATCGCGCAAGCTCGGATTTGCGAGGGGAGTTCACTAGACGCTTTTTGCCGACGATGCGCGGGATATGGGTGGAAGCTTTTTTCCCCGATGGTAATAAATGCTGGATATTTCGTATTCTCCTATTGTGTACCTGACCGCACGCGTCCGGGGTGGATCTTTGTAGGTTTTGCTTTTCTTCAAACTCGTTGGATGGAAGAGATGTATTGTGTTGCTTTACCAGTCACGCGGGGAGATGAATGGCGGGATTTTCGTGATGGAACTTGTGTTTCGTAGAACGGACAAGATTACACAGCTCATGAATTTATGCAGGTAGTGTTAATGTGGGGTGAGATCGCCGTTTGGGCAGAAAATGTTGTTAGGTATGACGTGGTTTTTTCCCCCTTGAATATCACTGGTACTTGGGATATCACAAAAGCACGTCATCACTGTCGACGGTAACAGTTTCGCAGACAGGCCGTGAATTTCTTCCTCCAACAGTAACTTGCGCACGCAGGGAACAGAAACATGAACACACATTATTTGCAAGAAAAAAAAGTGAGGCGTGGACCACTCAAGATTTCGATCTGACGTTTTCCCATCCCTATACTTATGTGCTCTCGACATATCACGGCGCTCCGTAATGTCACCCGCAGGTATCGCATTTCACCGATTTGCAGACACGATTGCTATCTCTAGAGATATACATGCATACATTTGGTTCAACCATCCCATCTGTGTTTTTTTTTCTTTTTTTTTTTTAGTTTAAATGATTTTATCCATCATTATTCTATTTTCCATACATTAATCTCATTACGAATATTGTGATTGAAGATTATTGCCGTGCGCATTTTTTTTATCATTCAAATGAGCTCTGTAAGATTATTTATGTCTTCGTAAATTAACGTGACTTGATGCAGTTTTTACAACGAAGGGAGAAAAAAATAATACCGTGCCCGTGCGTACGTGCAAGCGATATAATTATCTTTATTAACGCACTTTTTCGGCCATTAAATTTAATGAAAAGCACTTACAACTTCTAGAAAACTCCGCGGGACTAACAGCTAGCACTAAACGAACTTAAATCGCATGTTATGGAAAAGAAAAGAAAAAATAAAAAAAACAAAAGGAACAGAGAAATGGCACACCTGATTTAGCGTGTACCAGCAATCATGCGATCCGGCTGAAAAGTCATAAAAGAAAATTACCAGCCGCCCGCTCACTTGCTCGGAGCACAAAACAATTTAATTCAATTTGATTCAGCTTAATTGAAAAATTCCTTGGCCACGGGCCTCTACCCCCGATTATTTACGTCAAATGCATGTACAAATCGACAAAAGTGCAAGTGCGCGTCAAAAAGCAAAGACCATCGAAAGGAAAGCCGCGCCAAGATTCCAGGTAAATCAAGAGATTATGCTCATTTCTTCCTCTTGTTTTCCTTTATTCATAATCTTTTACCTTTTTTTTTTTTTTTTTATCTCATTTCACTTCATCGATGTGGTGCTTTTTTATTTTTCTCCGACCATCTTCGGCATTTTTCTTTTTAACACTGTTTATTTTCCATCGCATTGACGAAAATAAACGAACGAGAGAGGCGTGGAGGAACGCGAGTCAGCGACCCACGACGATCTGTTCATCGTAATTATTTATTGTCCCCCCCCCCCTGACTCCTCTGCTATCGTAGCGAGCTAGAATTAAACAGAGAGGAAGAGAGGTGGGAAGGGGCTCGTTCCAGCCGAGCAACGAGATTTACGAGCAATCAAGTATGTATTTAAGAGGAGAAAAAAAAAATTGATTTATCGAGCCGTACCTCAGCTACTCTTGGCTTTGAACAGTCTCGATGATTCTTTTTGGTGTGTACCTATCCACTGCCTATATACTGGTTGGCTGACTGATTCTCTAACACGATGGCTAAGTGAATTTTCAAGATTTACTTTCTGTTAATGATTATATGCTTAACGCTTTACTTGCCGCGTAGACATCATGGCCTCTTATCCGTGGATGATTGTGTTTATTAATGCTTAGTGTCTGCTAGTAGGTATTAATTGAATTTTATTTCTATTTTTTATTTATTAATTTGTTTGTTTGTGTTTTTTCAACCGTAGGTTTCACGTTTGTGTTTTATATCGGAAATTTATACAAGTGATATATTGTACAATATTTAAAAAAAATGTTTATCTCCAAAAGAATTTTAACTCTAGTCTATACTTGGTTGTATTTGAGAAAGATATTTCGTCTTTAAGGGACCAACCTAAAAGGTTATATTTATGTATACATTGTTGGAAACAAAAAAAAAGACATTAGAACTTCGCAGGGTAGATGGCTTAACTGAAGCGGAATTTGGCCGGCTAGTTTTTAGATTTCTGGGAGAAGTGAACTTCACGGCCCAGCCGATAATTTTTGGACTATTTGTGATTTTACCAAATTAGCTGACCCACACATTAGCCTTTTCGAAAAGAACCAGCTGACAATCTTGTCAAACAAGACGACAGGATGCTTCTCTTGGAAGGACTGCTGACATGACCCTACGAAGTTAGCACACTAACCACTGAGCCACCAATGACTATTGTCTCGATATAATGTGTCAAAGAGTTAAAACTTTGTTGTTCTAAATGTTACTATCTTTTCCTTTGTTTGTGGATCAAGTACTTTAATTTTTACATGTTTACCTCGTTGTGTCATTAACGTATTCGTGTATCCCTTGGGGCATCTAGTAACACCCTTAGGCATGAAATATTTTACCGATGGCATTATCTGCTTTCTAAAACAATATCTAGATTTTCTTCTTCATATTCAACTTCACATCCACCTGTTTCTGTAGATTTAACCAACACTTTCGTGCACTGCAAACGTCGATGTAACTCAAAGCAAGTTTTTGTTGAATCAACCAAATACGGAGTGGTGTTCTGGAAATAAGTTGTTCAACAATACTGGGCGAGCGCACCGAAGTTGGAGAGAAAAAGATTATTATGGACATGGTTAGCACCGGTAGCAGCATTGGAATCGCGTGCCCGAAAAGCAGTGAGAGCTATGTAGCTATAGCTTCAAGCGAGTGGGTCGAAGGAATCGGCCCGAGTAATCTTTGAGTGGACACTGCTGCTGTTGCTCTCGTACCACAGACACTACTCTTGTTTTTCGTGGCCCAGCTGCTGCCACTACTGTGGTGGAAGTGGTGATTAATCGCACCCAGTTCTCTCGTGGTTGCTAACAAAAATTCGCACGTTTAGCCATGTATTTGTGTCACATCGCGACCACGCGTGTGTTTACCGTAAGCTTGTCTCCTCGTGTGCTCTGAATCGACGAGAAAATCGCGCGTGCCCGTGAGCTTGTGGGGGACAGGTTTCTCTATGCAAAATGTAATAAGAACTGACATGAAAACTTTGACAATCAAGCTATCTTTATGTTTAACCTTTTAAGCTGTAGTAATAATCAAAATGATTGAATTGTACTTGACATCAGCTGTTTAAAGTTGGGGTGGTTGTTAAAAATTACTTTCATCATCTGTAGATAGAGCCAGCTCGCTCAACCTATTCTATTATAAATACCTCATGCAGCCAACACCCTCCTCACATTTCCAAAAACCCACGCAAATTTAGCAAAGTCTGAAGTTCTTCACTTCTGTTAATATATTAATTCCACGCCACATCTTCCACCGGAGCTTGTCGAAAGATGAGCCACATCGTCGAGTCGGTGGATGGCTTGGAGAAGAATGAGTGGCAAGGGATAGAATGACCAGTGAGAGAGCGAGAGAGAAAGTACATCAAGCCATTGTATGTTCTGCTCGTGGTTGGATGAAGAGAAATGGCGATGGCTGAGAGCAGCCTATAGATGTACGTTGATTGTAGAAACAGTACTCACAGCTTCCAGAATTTACAATTTATGGAAGATAAGGGATGGGGGAGGAAGTCAGTGTATGCATATGGATAGGTACGTGCGGCATACAGAGCTCTCATGGAATGCGAGATGGCCATGTAAAATACATGTGTGCACAGGGGCGTATTATTCGAACACCGATTAGGATCCCTGAAATTGGATCATAGAGGCTGATATGCCATGGTGGTGTTCACCTTTGATTCGCTGCTATGGGAGTTGATGTATTACCCACGTATTTAGGGTTCAGGACGACGGTTCAGTCTGTATCTAGCATATATATATGTAAATCCTACAGGCATTGGTATTTGTCGTAGGAGCCAACCCCCTGTATACACGTACATCATTTCTCCCATGTGCTATTACTATCACTTGCTCTATACGTTTATGTGGGCTAGACAGGCGTGTTGATGCTACGACAG